CAACATGGTGAAACCTGTCTTTTAAAAAAAAAAAAAAAGAGTCAAGGAAATGCTTGTGTTTCCAACAATAATATTGCTAACAAGATGTCACCTAAATATGATGAAGGAAAACATCATATAGGGAAAGTTAGTTAATATAACTATTCCTTCATTTATAAATTGTTTTTGTTTTTTTTTTTTTAGACGGAGTTTCGCTCTTCTTACCCAGGCTGGAGTGCAATGGCACGATCTCGGCTCACTGCAACCTCCGCCTCCTGGGTTCAGGCAATTCTCCTGCCTCAGCCTCCTGAGTAGCTGGGATTACAGGCACGCGCCACCAGGCTCAGCTAGTTTTTTGTATTTTTAGTAGAGACGGGGTTTCACCATGTTGACCAGGATGGTCTCGATCTCTCAACCTCGTGATCCACCCGCCTCAGCCTCCCAAACTGCTGGGATTACAGGCTTGAGCCACCGCGCCCGGCTTATAAATTGTTTTTTATTGAATTAATTAATTAATTTGAGACAGAGTCTCGCTCTGTTGATCAGGCTGGAGTGCAGTGGCGCACTCTTGGCTCACTGCAACTTTTGCCACCTGGGTTCAAACGATTCTCTTGCCTCTACCTACTGAGTAACTCAGATTACACACATGTGCCACCATGCCCAGCTTTTTTTTTTTTTTTTTTTCTTCTTGTATTTTTAATAGAGACAAGATTTTGCCATGTTGGCCAGGCTGGTCTCAAACTCCTGGCCTCAAGTGATCCGCCCGCCTCAGCCTCCCAAAATGCTGAGATTACAGGCATAAGCCACCATGCCCAGCCTTTAAATTATTTTTACATATATGAGACCAGTGCTGGTTTTTTTTTTTTTTTTTAAGACGGAGTTTTGCTCTTGTTACCCAGGCTGGAGTGCAATGGCGCGATCTCGGCTCACTGCAACCTCCGCCTCCTGGGTTCAGGCAATTCTCCTGCCTCAGCCTCCTGAGTAGCTGGGATTACAGGCACGCACCACCATGCCCAGCTAATTTTTTGTATTTTTAGTAGAGACGGGGTTTCACCATGTTGACCAGGATGGTCTCGATCTCTTGACCTCGTGATCTACCCGCCTCGGCCTCCCAAAGTGCTGGGATTACAGGCTTGAGCCACCACGCCCGGCCTCCAGTGCTGGTTTAAAAGGACTAAATTATATTCTGGTTATGTTTGTTTGTTAAGCTGAGGTTTTGCTGTGCTGCCCAGGCTAACTTTTGACTCCTGGGCTGAAAGCATTGTCCTTTCTCATTCTCCTGAGTGCTTGGATTACAGCTACCATCCCCCATCCCCTGCTAAAATTACTAAATTAGATACAATTGAGTTACCTTGTTTATTTTAAAATTCTAGGAAGCCATAAATAGGACAGGTGCGATGGCTCATGCCTATAAGTCCAGCACTTTGAGAGGCCTAGATGAGCAGGTCACTTGAGGTCAGGAGTTCAAGACCAGCTTGGCCAACATGGTAAAAACCCGTCTCTACTAAAAAAAAATTAGCCAGGTGTGGTAGCAGGTGCCTGTAATTGCAGCTACTTTGGAGCCTGAGGGAGGAGAATCGCTTGAACCTGGGAGGTGGAGGTGGCAGTGAGCCTAGATTGTGCAGCTACATTCCAGCCTGGATGACAGAGGGAGACTCCCTCTCAAACAAACAAAAAACCCTATAAATGAAAGACAACATAGTTGCTAAAGATTTTCTTCTGCTTAGTTATCTATAACTTTGTTTCAGTTAGTAAAAGAAATCATTGACAAAGTAATTAAAGTTTTGAAACAGATGATTATAATGCAACATTATATTACTTGTAGCAACACGTTGCAAATTTAAGTACTAGATCAAGCTTGACCATCCTTCAGGAAACAAAAACAAAAACAAAAACAAAATCCAAGTGCCATTTTGATAGTTCCTTATAGTCCCAAGCAACTAATCCAATACGCTTGAATGGGAAACTTATGCTGAGCTACCCACTACCCACCATTCGTGCACCATTAGCTGATACCCATGCTGGCCTTTAGAGTGCTTTGGCCAGAAACTGTCATTTCAACTACAGAAAGAATCTCTAATCAGGATTTTAGATCACCATTTACTTTTAAATTTTGAAGTACAATAGAATGAATATAGGTATAAATATGGATAATTGTTCTGTTTTGTTTTGGAGACAATGTCTTATTCTGTTGCTGAGGCTGGAGTGCATATTATATATATGTGCTCATGTGATTATAGCTCACCGCAGCCTCTAAATCCTAGGCTCAAGTGATCTTCCCACCTCAACCTCCTGAGTAGCTAGGACTACAAACGCATGCCATTGCACCCAGCTAGCTTTTAAATTTTCATAGAGACAGGATTTTGCTGTTTTGCAGGCTGCTGTCAAAGTCCTGAACTCAGGCAATCCTCCTGCCTTGGCCTCCCAAAGCTCTGGGATTACAAGGGTGAGTCATCACGACTGGTGGATAATAGGTATGTTTTTAAGAGGTGAGGGATATGAGACATTCTAGCCAATTTTAGCCCAGTGGCTGGATTCAGTAGTTATCAGGTTCAGGTCAGTGTAGGATGAAACAGATCTCAAATTCTATACCCAGCTTCTTGAATCAGGTTCTTCACCTATCCAACTCTTTTCTAATAGATGATGAAAATGAAATGCCAATCAGGATACCTGTAGCATCCACCCTGACAGAGTAAATGACCCAGGATATTTCAAGATCTAAGAGGGCAAAGTCAAAGTCAAAGGACCAGTGATGGGAATCTCACAGGTTATGATTTGGTCTTCTATCATAATTTGCTATCTTTACAGAAAAGACTAGGTTTCTTGAATGATGCCAAATGTAAAGACAGCAAATTATGACAGAAGACCAAATCATAATCTATGAGATTCCCATCACTGGTTCCCCAGTTAGCATCCTTCTAGAATATCGAAGTCCTCACCCATAAAACCTTAAGCTGACAGTTGTATTCCTCTCCCACTCGCCCTCCCAAACACAGGTTTTATTTTCTTATGTCTCCTATAGGATTATATAATATTCTACATTTGCTCTATGAATTTTATACACATCAAGCTAAAATCTGGAAGTTTTTTTAGCATTTGTACTGTGAAGCAGAAAAACAAAGCTTTCATTGGATGAGAAAAAATTATGTCTAACAGAAAATGTGGAAAAACATTTTTAAATGCCAACATCAGAATTTTTTTTCCTTTTAGAATATTTTCCTGCTCTTGTACAACAATTGCTAACTACAGAGGAACGTGAGCAACAATTTGGTTCTGCTTGCTGTTGCAAATGAAATGTGGCCACCCACAGGTACTTTTATTCTTTTTAAGTCAGAGTCCACTGCCATGATTCCAAAAAGCAACACATGGTATATTTACTTTTGAAATTTATTTCAGGTGAGAGGACACTCACAGTCTAACAAAATAAACATAGAATTAAATCACATTCCCAAAGTCCAATTCTTCTTCCTAGCCAAGACAGGGTAAGATAGAGATACCAGAGTTGGTCTGTATTAGTTTCTCCACATAGTCTATCCCTTTCATTTTCCAACCTCCATCTACAACCCCAGCAAATGAGAGCCATTTATAACAGTAAGACTAAATCTATTTCTCACAAAATGCCTGAGATGGATATAGCCAAGGCAGAAAGTATAGAAGGAGATTAGGAAATATAAGCAGGGTTTTAATGATAAACTTCTATCTTTGTTGGAAGGAAAGGGGGGTTGATGAATCAATATGAAGAAGAAAAACAGAAAAGGTTTAATTTACCTTGAAAATAACCACAATTCTATTTGTCCAGGCCCAGTGAAAATTTGTGTCAAGCAATTTCATTCATTTCACAGTGCCTAGCACATTGCTGACTGTGTGGTAAATATTAAACAAGTACTTGTTGGTTGATGAAACAGATACATGGAAATGTTGTATATACACGGGAAGCAGAAACTCAATGTGGTCAGGCAAATTGGAAAGCAAGGCAAGGTTTGGTTCTCCATGTCAATATTTTCAAGTTACACACTGGGGCAACAAATGAAATAAAATTCTGCCACATTCATAGTTCAACATGTTGCTCCTCTTTGACTGCTAAAACTTTATATGTAAAAAAGGAAAGCTAGGATTAAGTAAAAATGTTTTAAATTAAATGTACACAAAATAATTAAAGATAAGTCATTTTATTGCTTAGCATTTCTTCTTGCATTTAAAAGGTGGCTTGCAAAGGTGGCTTACATTTGTAATAGCAATACACCACTTGAAATCTTAAACACATAAGCACCTAATTTGCTAGACTGAAGCTAGCCTTCAACTTTTAGTGATGCCATATGCTTTTAAATTAACCCTTCTAAACACTGTACAAATCTCATAACACAGACTGTGAGCTTATAACTGAATTAGGTTACTACTAAATACTCATCAGGCAAACTAAAGAAAATAAAAAAAAAACATGCATATTCTTACAGCTCCATGAAAGCCAAAATTAAAGATGGTATTATAAGAATTTGAGATTAAACAACTATAATTTGGCTGTAAGATCTCCATGACTTACACATTAAGTTTAACTAAAATCTCTAAGGACCTTTTTCTTTGGAAAAGAATCATACATTTTAAAATAGCCTTTAATGAACAGTCTATTAAAATCACAATGGATCATAGCTGTCAACTTCAAATAGTGCCTTTCTTCTAGAGGGCTTAAGTTTACACACTGGTGCAACCCCACAAATGCAGATGCTACAAAGGGAGCTATAAAGAAAAACAAATTTTATTCACAACCCTCTGCATACAAACTTTTCCTTCTGTAGACTTGTGTGGAGTTGAAAATAAAGGATGCTAATATGTACATTATGTAGCACATCAAAAAAAAAAAAAGAGAGAGAGAGAGAAAATACTTTAGTTGAGTGGAAATTCATCCATCTACTGAAAATCTGGGAGAATTCACATATACTGTACTCCAAATTTACCCAAGTACAGAAAAAATACTATATGAAATGGAAAAATAATGAAATATTATTTAATCAACAGCTGATTACCTTTAAAATTTTGGGCTTCTTTTCCCTCTGGGGCCTCTTGTTTTCCTTTATAACCTAAAAAAAATCAAATTGCAAAATGAGCCTCTGTTTAAGAAATAAAATTAGCTCCCACATCCCCAAAATTTTTGGCTATTTCTCTGTAAAACTATACCATTTAAAATCATCAACATGTTTGCTAGGCAGAACCTAAAGAGCTTATGTAAAATGTACACTTTAAAAGTCACTGAAAAAAATCTTGCATAAAGATGAAGTAGGGAAATACCCTTTTTTCCCCTTAAAGTCTGTCTTAATTAGCCTCTGCATTCTTCACAGCGAAGCCCACGAGGTAGCCATCTTGCTTGCTTCTGCAGAGGAAGCCTCTACAGTGGAACAGTTCTGCAAACTGCTTTTTGGTATTATTATCATGGTGTTTAAAGGCAGCCCTGGCCTGCCAGCACTGTAGACGTGCTGGGCATGCCTTTTGCAAAAACAGCCCCACAAAGAGTGCAGCCAATGGCAATGCAGAGCTTAGCAACTCCAAAGTGATCTTCTCAGCCTAGCCCTTCCTAGACAAAGGATCTCCTGTGCGGCTCGGCTCTCACCACAGGACACAGGCAGCCACAAGCTGCGACATGGAGTTCGCTGTAGAGGATCTGGTCGCGCCGAAATCACAGGAGGCTTCAGCAAAAACAATGCACACAAATCCCCCAGGTCACCACCATTGGATCGATGGCAGAGCCTCCCTGATTAGTAACCTCTTGGCGGCTCCGAGGGCAGGTCTGCATGGGGGAGGGGTGCGCTGCTCTGCCTCCAATGTTCAGGAGACATAACCGAGCCTGGGGGGCATTTGGGCTTGCTGAAACTCTGGAAGGTATTGTGCATTTTTACTTTATAAGGCAAGGCTAAATATTGGCGATATTTAAGGCAGGGAGGTTATGTGAGGACAGTGTAGGCTCAGCTGTTGGGCTGCCTGTCTCATGCCTCGGGAACCACACCTCTTTGCAGCAGGCGCTTTGCCCAGAAACACAGCAATTTGATTTCTGTCAATAAATGTCCAATGACAATGGCGAATTAAAAAATAACAATAAAGCCACTGAAAAGGAAAGGACGGGATGAGGACAAAAAAGAAGGGGAGGAGTTTCCAAAATACACTTGCCACCCTGAGTGACTAGAGAGAAAAGATTTTCTCTCTTGCTCTGGGTATTTCCGATGACCTTCATTTCCCAATAAAATTTCTTCCCTACCAGAAGGAAAATTTGGAGTCATATCTTTGGGCTAAAAGGACACCTTTGGCTCTTCTGTCTCCCAAGATCAACTGTCACTGAGCATCTATCTGCCGACCTGCCAAGCAAGTCCCCATGTGGGGCCGGTCTGTGCACCAGACTTGTGGTCAGACAGAGCCACCCACTTCCTAGGGATCGGGACCTGAGCCAGGGGTAGAACAAGCCACCATCTCCCCACACACACCTGGACTGCCCCCACGCCCAGTGAGTAGTAGGCAGTGGGACAGCTGGCACCACAGTTGGCACCTGCCAGACACTGAGAAAGGCAGGCCCAGGAGCTGTGCCCCCACCACCTCTCTTAGCTGCCTGGCATTGCAAGTGGCAGCAGAGCAGGGCAGCTGCAGTGAGCTGGCTGGTCTCAAGGTCACTGCCAAAATGCAGTGCAGAGGGCGGTCACACTCCCATCACAGCCACCTTAACAGCTGCACAGATCTGGGGAAGACAGCCCTAGATCCAGCCTTGCAGGGCCAAAGTTTCAGCAGCACGTTTGGGGGATTGGCAGGAGGGCCTCCTCGGCTGCTCAGCCAAAGATGGGTTTTCCACTTGCAGTTGGATTCAGAACAGATTCCCACAACCAGAAATCAGGAACAGACTGAGGGCCGGAAGGCCTGCATTTCATCACCCTTAATTCCCAGCCTGAGTTTGCCACAAAAGCATGCTTTCCTTGTTGGAACGTGAAGTCCAGCATTCGTTGTTTTTCAACTTTTAAACTACCTCTCACAACCCACCTCCCCCCACCAAATTTTTAACAAATTCATGTAAGAAAAAAACCTATTGGGCAGGGATGGTGGCTCAAGCCTGTAATCCTAGCACTTTGGGAGGCTGAGGTGGCCAGATCACCTAAGGTACGGAGTTCAAGACCAGCCTGGCCAACATAGTGAAACCCCATCTCTACTAAAATACAAAAATTAGCCATGCACAATGGCGGGTTGTCTGCAATCCCAGCTACTCGGGAGGCTGAGACAATCGCTTGAACCCAGAAGACGCTGGTTGCAGTGAGCTGAGATTGTGCCACTGCACTCTAGCCTGGGCATCTGAGCAAGACTCCATCTCAAACAAACAAACAAACAAACAAAAACTACTGAATATGGTGTTCTCAACTCTTCCTTCAATGCTTGTAACAAAACCAATGGACTCTGACTTATGCATATCCACCAGTGCAAATTTGAACACACAAAGCCCACACTATCTCTGAGAAGAAGTTCTGAGTGAGGAATGAAGCAGCATTGAAACAGGCAGAAAAATGATCAAATACAGTAAGATTTGAAAATGGGTACAAAACCTTTAGCTGTACATACCCCCTTTATTGGTGATTTTTTTGTTTGTTTTTTAGATGTAATCTCTCTCTGTCATCCAGGCTGGAGTGCAGTGTCGTGATCTTGGCTCAATGCAACCTCCACCTCCCAGGATCAAGTAATTCCCTGCCTCAGTGTCTCGAGTAGCTGGGATTGCAGGCCCCGTCACCACTCCTAGCTAATATTTTTTGTATTTTTAGTAGACATGGGATTTTACCATCTTGGCCAGGCTGGTCTTGAACTCCTGACCTCATGATCCACCCGCCTGGGCCTCCCAAAGTGGTGGGATTACACGCATGAGCCATCGAGACCAGTTTTTCTTTTGTTTGTTTGTAGCGGGGCGGCGGGGGCGGGCAGAGTCTGCAACTCTCCCCCTAGCTGGAGTGCAATTATCTCCACTCACTGGAACCTCTGCCTCCTGGGTTCAAGTGATTCTCCTGCCTCAGCTTCCCAAGCAGCTGGGATTACAACAGCTGCCTGCCACCATGACTAACTAAGTTTTTGTATTTTTAGTAGAGATGGGGTTTCACTATATTAGCCAGGTTGGTCTCAATCCTCTGACCTCGTGATCCACCCTCCTCAGCCTCCCAAAGTGCTGGGATTACAAGCATGAGGCACCATGCCTGGCTTTTTTTGGTGATTTTTTAAAAATTGTGGTAAAATATACATAACACAAATTTATTACTTTAACTTTTTTTTTTGAGATGGAGTTTTATCCTTGTCACCCAGGCTAGAATGCAACGGCGGATCTTCCTCACCGCAACCTCTGCCTCCTGGGTTCAAGTGATTCACCTGCCTCAGCCTCCTGAGTAGCGGGATTACAGGCACCCACCACCACTCCGGCTAATTTTTGTATTTTTAGTGGAGACAGGGTTTTGCCATATTGGCCAGGATGGTCTCGAACTCCTGACTTCAGGTGATCTGCCCACTTCGGCCTTCTAAAATGCTGAAATTACAGGCTGGGTAAGTCACTGCGTCTGGCCTCATTTTAACTATTTTTAAGTGTGTAGTTCAGTGGCATTAAATACATTCACAATGCTGTGCAATTATCACCTCTCAATTTCCAGAACTTTTTCCTCCTTGTAAACAGAAATTCCATCCCCATTAAACAACAACTCCTCATTTGCCTTCCCCAGCCCATACTAACTTCCATTCTACTTTCTGTCTATAAAGTGGACTACTAAGTACCTCCTATTAAGTGGAATCATATAGAATTTTTCTTTTTGTGTCTGTTAACTTCACTTGTTAATAGCATAATGTTTACAACGTTAATCTGTGTTGCAGAATGTATCAAAATTTTATTCATTTTGGCCGGGCGCGGTGGCTCAAGCCTGTAATCCCAGCACTTTGGGAGCCCAAGGTGGGTGGATCACGAGGTCGAGAGATCGAGACCAACCTGGTCAACATGGTAAAACCCCGTCTCTACTAAAAATACAAAAAAATTAGCTGGGCATGGTGGTGCGTGCCTATAATCCCAGCTACTCAGGAGGCTGAGGCAGGAGAATTGCCTGAACCCAGGAGGCGGAGATTGCAGTGAGCCGAGATCGCGCCATTGCCCTCCAGCCTGGGTAACAAGAGCGAAACTCCGTCTCAAAAAAAAAAAAAAAAATTTTATTCAATTTGAAGGCTGGACAATATTTCTTTTTATGTACATAACACATTTTGTTTATGCATTATTCTGTTGTTAGACATGGGTTGTTTCTACCTTTTGTCAACTGTGAATATTTCTTCTATGAATATAGGTGTACAAGTAGGTATACCAGTAATATATGCCTTGGAGTAGAATTGCTGGATCATACGATAAGGCTATGTTTAACTTTTTGAGGAACTACCAAATTTTTTCCATAACAGCCGCACCATTTTACAATCCCATCAGCCATGCACAAGGATAGCCCTGTATTTCTTGAAGTGCATTGCATTTCAATTACACATTATGCCTCTTCTCTCTTTTTTTTTTTTTGAGACGGAGTTTCGCTCTTGTTGCCCAGGCTGGAGTGCAATGGCGCGATCTCGGCTCACCGCAACCTCTGCCTCCTGGGTTCAGGCAATTCTCCTGCCTCAGCCTCCTGAGTAGCTGGGATTACAGGCACGCGCCACCATGCCCAGCTAATTTTTTGCACCTTTAGTAGAGACGAGGTTTCACCATGTTGACCAGGATGGTCTCGATCTCTTGACCTCGTGATCCACCCGCCTCGGCCTCCCAAAGTGCTGGGATTACAGGCTTGAGCCACCGTGCCCGGCCTATGCCTCTTCTCTTGAATGATCAAATATAAACTTTAAAACATCAACATTTTTTCCAGGTGAATCGTTCTATATTTAGTAAAGCGGCCATGAAATATAATTGTATAATTTAAATCAGTCAGCCGGGTGCAATGGCTGACGCCTGTAATCCTAGCATTTTGGGAGGCTGAGGTGGGTGGATCACTTCAGGTCAGGAGTTCGAGACCAGCCTGGCCAACATGGTGAAACCCAATCTCTACTAAAAATACAAAAATTA